ACGACTGGACCTAATGGTCAGGGGTCCCTTTACCTTTACAAAGCAGAAAAAGATAGAGATATTGGTTATGAGTCTGAAATGTAATAGGGAAAGTAAGAAATGCATACTAAGAGACTAGATTGGAAAATTTTCAGGCAGGACTGATGGAAGTCAAAAAAATGAATAAGATGTAAAAGTATGTTTAATTGCTGTTGAAAATGGTATGTTAAAAAACTAATTATATATATATATATATATATATATATATTATATATATAATAATAATACCACCCCCCTATTGGTTTAAAAAAAGGATTAGGCAAATTCATGAAGGGGAAGGCTATCAACAGAGTAGGTGTCTCAGTTGCTGGTATTTGCAAGCAGGCAGAGGGCTATTGCATTCATGTTCTGCTTGCAGGCTTTCCCTAGGCATCTGGCTGGCCACAGTGAAAACAGAATGTTGGGTCGGATGGGTCTTTGGGTTGATCCAGCAAAGCTCTCCTCACATACTTGTGGCATTGTTGAGCATGCACTCAGAGTGTGCTTCTCTTTGGCTAGACATGCCCTCAGGCTTTGATTTCCTTCCCTGCCTTATTTATCACCTTGCTGTTCTGCTCTTCGATGGGCATGACATTAATGAGGAATGACTCCAATGAAAGAGCTCCAGCATTTTCAGACACTGAGATGTCTGGATTTCTTATGCAAAGGAGGGGGGGGGGAACACAACAACCGGAGGACGACTCTTATGACCAGGTCTTCATTTAAAGGCTCTGAGTCATCAGTTACTGGACCAGAATCAGGAAAGTTTTAAGTTCTCTCTTAAGTTTCATACATTCGGAATGGAGGGGGTGGGAGAGTTTGTAGAGCTGGATTTCGGCTGCCGTGTTGATCACCGGCTCTGGGCAGAAATTTGTGAATGATTTCAGATCCACTGGGAGGCTGTGTTGCAAATCGTGAATGATACGTTCCATAGGGACCATGCAAGTCTAGAGAGTCATAAAACGGTAAAGGGACCCCTGACCATTAGGTCCAGTCATGGCCAACTCTGGGGTTGCGGCGCTCATCTCGCTTTATTGGCCGAGGGAGTCGGCGTACAGCTTCCAGGTCATGTGGTCTGCATGACTAAGCCGCTTCTGGCGAACCAGAGCAGTGCAAGGAAACACCGTTTACCTTCCCACCGGAGTGGTACCTATTTATCTACTTGCACTTTGATGTGCTTTCAAACTGCTAGGTGGGCAGGAGCAGGGACCGAACAACAGGCGCTCACCCTATCGCAGGGATTCGAATTGCCGACCTTCTGATGGGCAAGTCCTAGGCTCTGTGATTTAACACACAGCGCCACCCACGTCCCTAGAGCGTCATAGCTCTGCTCATTTGGAAGGAGCATTCAGAGACACAAGACCGGCTTTCCCTTTTCGCATGCAGAGGTGGAAATTAAATTTGATGGAGCTTGCATTTTTAAAGGTGGACCTACCCAATTTCCAAAAGAGTTCCATTCCCCAGCTATATAATGTGTGCATAAAAATAAATGTATTGGTGAAACTAACCTACAGCAATGCATCATATTAGAGAAAATTGCTTTGCAAAGGTGTTTATTTGGGAAGATTGCATACAAAGATGTGCAGATTATGGTGGTACCTTGGGTTAAGAACTTAATTTGTTCCGGAGGTCCATTCTTAACCTGAAACTGTTCTTAATTGAGGTACCACTTTAGCTAATGGGGCCTCCTGTTGCCACTGCGCTGCCGCTGCACGATTTCTGTTCTCATCCTGAAGCAAAGTTCTTAACCTGAGGTACTATTTCTGGGTTAGCGGAGTCTGTAACCTGAAGCATATGTGACCTGAAGCGTATGTAACCCAAGGTACCACTGTAGTAGAAGAAATTCAATGTGCTCCTTGAATTCTCCTCTTTTTTAAACCTCTTTCCTATTAATTGAACATTTTCAATTACATGCTGGTGGTGGGCAGGACTGAAGCCAGTGTGCGGAGCAGCCGGAACCCAAATGGGTAGGGCCCCCCTTCCTGCATTGCAGGGGGGTCAGACTAGATGACCCTCGACGTCCCTTCAAGCTCTAAGATACTGCAATTCTATTATTCTTTCTCCCTCTTTCTGACACTCTCTCTTTCTCTCTGTTTCTCAAGAAGGAGGTTAATTCTACTGGATCTTTTACTCTGATTCTTCAGAAAAGGGAAGTTTGTCTGTATACACTGTCGCTTTGTCTCAGGGGGTGGAGTGGGGTTGATTCAGAAGAGACAGAACTGATCCGAGGGAACGCTGCCCTTGGCACTTCAGTGGCAGACTCGGGTAGATTTGGTGACGCCCCCCCAGTCCTTGCAGTGCCATCCTATAGATCAGTGAAGTCCAACAGGTAGATCCCCAAGAGGCTCCAGTTGATCGCTGCTGATCATGTGCTCCTTTTCCTTTGCTTTTGCCTAAAAGCAGCCGGCCCCGCCCTCTCCCCTCCCTCCATTTTTGCATGATTTCTGGAACGGAAGACAGAGTGCGACATTCCTCCCTAAAACTATTCCGCTTGGCTTTCAATTTGAATTTAGCCTGATCTTTTATTCCCCTTCCTTCCCTCCCTCTCCCCTTTTTATGAAGATTACCCACTCTGGGATCCCACAGTTAATTCTCCCCTGGTCTCCTCGCTGGCCCAGATAGGACAAATTTAGCCAGCTAGCCCTGGTGATCATCTAATGTTTATTGGATGGATTTCCCCCCTAAATTGATTTTTGATTTTATTGTTATTCACGATTTATACTGTATTTTATGCTGTTTTGTGTAGCATCAATTAAGTGTTTTAAATTTGTTGTTAGCCGCCATGAGCCCAGTTTTCTGAAGCGGGAAGGGCGGGGTATAAATAAAAATTATTATTATTATTATTATTATTATTAAAAAGCTCATCAACTTTGGCCTTAACCCCCCCCAAAAAAGGGGTAGATCACTGCCACTTTCCCCCCCCCTGTGAGTAGATCGCAGTCTCTTGGGAATTGGACGTCCCTGCTATAGGTGGATAAGGAGGCCCCGGCTTTGGCAAGGAGGTGCAAGGGCTCTGGCAGGGTCCTAGTGCTAACTACATTTCAGGAAGGAGGCGGAAAAACTCTAGGGGGAACCATTTCAGAGCTTCATGCCTCTGATGCTCACTTACTGGGCTTTGAGGTGCCACCCCCTCAGCTCAGTCCCCAGTGTGTGCTCACCACCGGCATAGCCCTAAATCCGTCCCTCAGTAATCCAAATGCTGTCATAACCTTAAAAAAACTGGTGATCACTGCCTTAAGTGACCTGAAAACTCATGTGCTTTTGTAGGTGCAAGTGTAAAAATTCTTGCATATTAACTTCCTCCTCTCCCTGGAATTGCTGTGGATTACTTGACCAAACTACAAAGCCAAGCAGATGTTTGCGCCCTTCCAGGTTTAGGCATTCAGTTATCTTAGGTCACATCCACACCAAAGAAGGAACGTGTGCAGAGGAGGGTGACCAAGATGATCAAGAGTCTGGAAACCAAGCCTGATGATGAATGGTTGAAGGAGCTGGGTATGTTTAGCCTGGAAAAGAGGAGACTGAGAGGAGATAGGAAAACCGTCTTCAGATATCTCAAGGGCTGTCACATGGAAGAGGGAACAAGCTTGTTTTCTCCTGGTCTGAAGGGCAGGACTTGGAACCAATGGCTTCAAGAGACAAGAAAGGAGATTACAACTAAACATCAGGAAGAACTTCCTGGCAGTAACAGCGGAATGGTCTCCTTCAGGAGGTTGTGGACTCTCCTTCCTTGGAGGTTTTTAAGCTGAGGTTGGATGGCCATCTGTCTGGGATGAGATTCCTGCATTGCAGGGGTTTGGACCAGATGTCCCTTTCAACACTACAATTCTGTGATTGTATGATCCGACTTAAGTGTCCTGTCAGCACAAGAATTTCTGCTTGTGCAGCTGAACTTTCCCCAGGACGCATCATCCCGCGCATGCCCTGCACTGTCCCCAAATTTGGTCTGAAGGGTTGGGGAGCCCCCAGAACAGATGTAGGGATGTCCAAGGGAGGATGCAGGGATGGGAGTCCTATTGCAGCAGTGGACATCCTTGCACTGACAGCAGGCTTGCTTAGCACTAGACAACTCGATACATTTAAAGCATTTTACTTCCTCCAAATAATCCTGGAAACAGTAGTATCTCTCTCAAAGCGCTACACTTCTCAGCACCCTTCACAAACTACAGTTCCTAGGATTCCTTGGGAGAAGCCGTGCATATGCATGATGTGGGGGTTGGGAGATTCCATTCCACCTTTTGTTGCAGACATGGGATTGTTGCGTGTCACATGTTTGTTTCCATTCCAGCACAGATTGCTGGGTCCCGTGAGCGGAACTTCCACTCCGTGTATTGATCTTGTTTTGATTGTCTCTCCGAGAAGACGGCAAGGAGAGACGACATGTTTCTTTGTCCTGATTTATGTATAATAAATCCATAGTTTTAGTATGTATCCACACAGCCTCCAGCCTCTTCTGTTGTGCAGTTTACTCTGCTACGTATAGTGTACTCAAGGCAGCAAGCTTGAGTCGCTGATTTACGTCAGAGCCAGAGGTCGATGAATCTCCGCAGCGTAAAGGCTGAGAGGGAGATGATCCAGCTGGGGCCTAGTCAACTGGCCTTTTGACCCCCGGATGCTGACAGTGGGTGTGACCTTACTTTTTCCACAACTGTTTTATGTTGTTCTTGTTCTCCATTAGGATCTAAACCCTCTCTTGGTTCCTTAGTGTACGCCTAGTTGAGTAGTTGAGCAGTTGAATTTCTCTCTCTCTCTCTCTCTCTCTCTCTCTCTCTCTCATCCCCACTGTTCTGGATTGGGCACAGGTGAGCGAAACCAAACTACCATTCACAGGGAGCAATATCACGACACTCATGTGTGGTATCCTCAGTGTGCACGCATCAACTTTAGGAGCTGGGGAAAACCTCTCAGATAAACAAATGGGCTTTCCCCCCTCCCAAACAGTTCCTAAGGAAGACTGTAAACATAGAGCCAATTCCAAGTCAGCTGGGATAGCTCAATTGGTAGGGGATAGGATTCTTAATCTCATGTTCATGAGTTTGAACCTCATGTTCGGCAAAAGATTCTTGCATTGCAGAAGAGGTAAAAGGTAAAGGACCCCTGGACGGTTAAGTCCAGTCAGAGGTGACTATGGGGTTGCAGTGCTCATCTCGCTTTCAGGCCGAGGGAGCCGGCATTTGTCCACAGACAGCTTTCCGGGTCATGTGGCCAGCAGGACTAAACTGCTTCTGGCTCAACAGGACACCGTGACGGAAGCCAGAGCGCACAGAAACACTATTTACCTTCCCGCCACAGTGGTACCTATTTATCTACTTGCACTGGCATGTTTTCGAACTGCTAGGTTGGCAGAAGCTGAGGCAGAGCAATGAAAGCTCACCCTAGCGTGGGGATTTGAACCGTCGACCTTCTGATGGCAAGCCCAAGAGGCTCAGTGGTTTAGACCACAGTGCCACCTGCATCCTATAGTGCATTGCAGAGGGCTGGACTGGAAGATCCTTGTCGTCCCTTCCAGCTCCATGATTCTATGCTTCTATGATTAACCAGATCACCTGACACCTCATGTCACATGTTGAGTTTGTGTGTATGCCACTTTGAGAACGGTAAGAAGCCAACTCTCTTTAAAAGGTTTTTGAAGCTTTATTGAGTGCTACAATTTCAATTTGATGTACCGATACCCAGCACATGTGATTCATTGGATGGAGCAGTGTCTGTATGCTTTTGGGGCCTGCCCATTTTGTGTCGATGGCAACCATACTTGAAATTTCAGTAATCTATTGCAGACACGCTTTTGTGATTTAGCGAGATGATTTCCAACCCCTCGCAGATCTGTAGTGATTTGATTTCATCCAGCCGATCCAAAATCAATAGAAGTGTTTGGTTCTATTTCTTGTAGGCCACCTTGTCTCCAAGTGGCTTCTTCTGGGTGGTTTTGGAAAGAAATTCACTGCTAGGCTTGCTTGTGCTGGGCGGCTCTCGTCTGCCTGAAACCACAACACAAACAAGATGCATCACTCTGTGAAAAACTCGCACAAATCATTATTTCTCATTGAATCCAATGTGGTTCACTAATTATTATGTCACATTAGTCTGCTGGGCAGCTGTCTGGGAATAATGCAGCAAGCTAATAATTATTGAACAGGCTGCCAGCAGATTCCACGGTAGAACTATAAATCATTTATTTAATGCTAATTCAATTATCCACAAGTTTTCTGGCAGCAAAGGCCAAGCAAAACATTCCAGTGCAACAATACCACACGGACAAAGCACATCGATTTAGGGTTTCAGAAGTGTTGCATCAAAATAGACCAGAAAAATACAGTGCCTGGATGAATATTTGGGGTTCCAAAGATTGTAAATTCTATTTCTGAAGCACTGTTAACTTTCTGAACTTAAAAAAACAAACAAATGAGCATTATTTATAAGTGGGATCTGCCACAAAATGTTGCAGTGGAGAATGTACCTGACTCCAGCTATCCCGTTTCACTCCATTTCCCCTCTTCTGTGGTTTTCTGAGTAATCAGTGCAAATTTTTGTGTGGCTCAGTCCTCCTTGGGCTATTTTGGCTCCTGCCCTTAGTATTTTTCTTTTTCTGCTTTTGCAAAGTATTCTTCTATGGTGAGAAAGCCACTTCCGAATTCAAGAGGAGGTGGTGTTGCGGGCTTCACACCCTCTCCACGTGCGCAGGGGCTGATCTGAGACCAGCCTCCATGCCGATTGAGAGAATACCCCAGTCGCGTCATCCCCTAGCCAGCCAATCACCTGGTCGGGGGGGGGGGCGTGGTTTGCCCTATATTACACTGAGGCGGCCGGGATCTCCCTCTTTTAGTCGCCTCTGCTTCACCGGTTTCCCACCCTGCCGCCCTTCAAGGTTTCCCTTCTTACCTTGCTATGGACCTTGGTTGGTCGCCATTGTGGGGCCTGGTAGGAATTTTTTCCACTTGGCAAATTGGCAACCAGCCACTTGGTTTTTTGCCTGCCTCGTAGCAAATCGTCACAACTTCCTTGGCATTGGCGGTTAGGCATTGATATTGGTATGTAGATGAGGGGGAGAGGAAGTGCCATCACCTCCCCCACAGGTCGAAGGGTAGTCCGGTAAAGGATTCCGGGGTGTGTGGCCCTGTCTGAAGCCTATGGAGGTGTGGGCCTAAGGCACGCTCCCAAGCGGTGACCCGGGGGGACTTCCTAGTTGATGTGCATCAGCAGGACTCCCCCGATTGGTGTTAACCCTTCCCGGACTTCAAGCAATCAGGCTGAAATCAAATAGTCAATAGGACCAATGCCTAAGCCAATAAAGTTGGCAATACCTGTAACCAATAAAGTTGTGGCCATTTTTTGCCCATTAACCTAATTAACGGTGTCTTGTGTCTTTATTTCCATTGGGGGGAGGCGGGAACTTGCCACTCAAACCATAGAAAAGGACCTGTCTCCTGTTGCTACCACAGACCTCAACAGGAAATGTCAAGAAGAGCAGCGTAGAACTTTGAACAATTTGCAATTCATCTTCAAGGTCATTGTCATGCATGTGTTGTTGTTCTTTTTAACGCTTTAGACACTTTGGGCCTTTAAGCTTAAATATCACAATTGTTGGGGAGAAATAAATCAGACCATTCACATTCCACTGTGTGTGTATGAGCTGAAGTTTTCTTAAGTATAATTTACACTTCAGCACAGTGGTTTGTCATATTCTGAAAGCTTGGACTCCACCCCCCTCTTCCAAGGATCATGTGAACGAACTTGAATTGGGCTGCAAATTGAACTAGTTCGCTTTGTAACAGGATGAACATGAACCAGAATTAGTGGGATGTGTTGGAAATGAACTTTCATATACAGAGGAACCTCAGTTGTCGAACGTAGTCTGTTCTGGAAGACCGTTTGACTTCCGAAATGTTCAACAACCGAGGCTTAATGGGTGGTTAGCAATTTCAACGGAGAAAATTGAGAAATGTGCCTCAGAAGCCGTTCAACTTCTGAGGCATGCTCGAAAATGGAAGCAATTGCTTCCAAGTTTTCGGCGTCTGAAAACCAAAACGTTTGGCTTCCGAGACGCTCAAAAACTAAGGTTCCACTGTACTAAAAGTCAGGGTTTTTTTCCCCCAGCCAAAACTCTCTGAAACTCAGTTCCGGCACCTCTCAGGTGGGCGCCATTGCCATTATAAGAGAACAAGGGAGGCGTTCATGGTGAGTTCAGGCACCCCTTTTTGCTAGGAAAAGCAGCACTGCTAAAAGTAGAGTTGATGCAAGCTTTCTGAACATCACTGCCCAAAGAGAGAAAAAGGTGTGTGTTCCACTGTGCACTTACAGCTCAAGGTACTTTTGAGGGTTTTGATGTAATCGGACCAGAATGAACATTCGGCCTTCTTCAGCCCTTTGTGGTTCTCAAAGGAAGCAGTAAATTCCTTATAGTTGTCACCATCAGCATCAGCTCGAAACATAGGCCAAGAGGATGCAACCCCAGTCATTTTTCTGGAGAACTTATAAGGGCCATTTGGGTTTCTGAAGAAAGAAAGAGGAACAGCTGTTATTCAACCAGCCGGCATCATGAAGAATTTGTGCAACAGCCTTTAACACACGAGAGTATAGGCATGTATCTATAATCTCATGACCATTATTTACTACTACTACTAATAATAAAAATATATTTTTTTATTTATACCCCACCCTCCCTGGCCAGAGCTGGGCTCAGGGCGGCTAACACCAGTAAAATTACAGTAAAAACATAATAGGGGGAAAAAACCCAATTTAAAATACAGGTTAAAATGCAATTTAAAATGCAGCCTCATTTTAAAAGTAGGTAGCCCACACAAGAGGGGGCCTGCAACAAAATGTTGCAGTGCAGTGATGGACTTTGTTCTGCCCCAGCAAAGGAATTATGTTGTTCTGCTAAAGTTGTGCCTTACATGAATTCTCTCCCTGCAACAACGCCTTCAGGTGAGTCGTCATTATCATCGTTTTCTCAGGTGGGGAGCAGTGGTTGAAAGTGGATGGCAGAAGACCAACCACGGCTGAGATGGTTCATTCCAACAAGACCAAAACAAAAATAAAACCCCTCATCCGAACAACATTGTTCTTGGGAGAATCATCTCTTCTTTGGCTAGTTCTTGGCAACAGTTTCAAGGGTGCAGGGAAGTTGTGTTTTATTTTGAGGACTCTGTGTAATCTGCCTCATCTTTCAACAGTTCCTCTTCGCTAGTACTCACTGGAAATTGTCAGGGTTCACCAGCAGCTCAGGTTTAAGAAAAGCCATCCTTTTGCAAATGAGCTGAGCTGTCTTGCAAAGCTTCAAGAGGAACTGTGAGACGGCTTGCACAGCGGAGGGTTTCGATGTACCCAGCTCAGCTTGCTGTTTACTGACAACAATACTACACAAGAAAACTTCCAGGAAAGCAAAACTGACAGAACAAAAGCTAGGATTGGGAAATCAGCTTTTGAACTGAGAAGCAGGTTTTGACTGACTGTAAAGTTTTTGCTCTTTTAATAACCATGATCTACTGATCTTGCTATATACCGGTGGGTGTCTTAAAAATACTTCTTGCCAAATTGCTGATTGGAGGCTTCTGTGGTGGCTTCCCTGCGTTTAAAGAGCAGCTTATTGGATGCCATTGATACACTGTCTGACGGTAACACAAAAAACCCTGCACAAACACTATGCAATAGAATGAAAGATCAATACCCCCCCCTTTCCCCCCAACCAGTGGCGAAGCTGCATGCTCCACTACCGGGGGCAGAGATCAGATGGGGATGTGGCTGGCTCCCCCCGGGGGCGTGGCACGCATTTTGGGGGTGTGGTGCGCCGCCTGTGGGGGTGTGGCGCGTGGCGCACGGTGGGTGCCGTGATGGCACCCTACTGGAATAGTGGTGCTGGGGGAGATCCGCTCCCTCCGCACTCCCGTTCCTCCGCCAGCACCCCCAACCGCATAATGTCTCATCCTGGATGTAAACAAACGATGAAAAAGACATATAGTGCAGAGACTATACGTACTTTTCTTTCTTTGTTACACAAGGACATATTTAACAAAAGCTAATTAGAAGAAGAAGAAGTGAGGTTCAGAAGCTTTGTT